AATTTAGTCTATCCGATATTTATTATAATCATAAGTATTATTAAATCTTTAAATTACAAAATTTATTTATAGTGGAATTTTAAGATAAAAATTTATGTTGTTTAATTAAAAATCAACTATCATTTTTGGAATATTAATAAACCAAGTGGGTTCATTAATATTACTAAATTCTGAAAATTGCTATGATTTGATGAATTAATATATAATTTCTATTTTTAATCAATTTGAGATGTAACTAAGGTTATATTTATATTTCTAAAGCAATCCTTAAAAAGTCTAACCTTTGTCTTTCTGTTATTCTAATCTATCATTTTAATTCTTATTCTAATATCATTAAAGATTTTTATGTTTAATATTTTCATAATTAGTATTGAAACCATTAAAGAATAAAAATGATATTTTATATGGATTTTAATTATTATATCTATATAAAATAATAAGGATTAATTTACAACTAAATTGCAATCATGATAAATTATCCTTCCTTTAGTCACAAAAAAAAAAAATAAGATATCATTTAATATAGTTTAATTGATAAAGTATTTCCCAATGCAAAAATTTATATAAAGTAATATAGGTTTTGATATTATTTTATCTTGATAATGATCTTGGACATCTAAAATCTTAAGACTTATTAATTAAATCATTTGAATTCCCTTTAATTATATATAAAACAATAATTTAAGAGTATTTAATTTATTGAAATTAAAGACATCGATTATTTAATATTTGATTTATCTTTCTAGTATGGATGGACTTATTTAAGAAATTCAAGATAAATAAATAGTAATATTAACTATAAAGATATAATCTCAAAAATTATTTGAATTAGATGATGCTTAAATGATTTAAACGTTAAAGCTTTTGAATGAATTATTTTAGCATCACAGTTTTTAATTTTTTCGACTATTATCATTAATTGATTATGTATTTTATAAATTTAAGTTATTAGTTTCCAAACTGTCAACATTTATTCTTTCTTTCCAAAGTTAAAAATTCCTTAACCTTTCTACTTATATAAAGAAATGTGACTAATAAAGCTAATAGTTAATACTTGTAATTCTAACTTTATGTATAATTAGCAAACTTCTGAATAAAAAAAGTAAAATTTCGGTATAAACTTTAATAATTGTGAATAAAATTATTCTTTTTAGTTTTTGCTCTTTAGGATTTTGAAATTTAAAAGGCTTTTTAGCTGCTATTATTTAAGATTAAACTGAATATTTAAATAGAAGAATTCGATATCATTTTAATTTATTATTCTCATTTAAACTTATATATTTATTAATAAATATTTATTTTAGGGTTTCAAAGCCATCCTAATCGAACTTAAACTGTCGTATTATTTTTAATCGATAACATATCTAGTGATTTTTCAAAATGTTAAGGACTCATAACCCTTTAAAATATAATTAGCTAACAATAAACTGCATCACTTATGATAAAAATATAAAATACCTTGAATATCCTAAATATTTCATCACTTTTCTTTTTAATTTATTTAAATCATCATGTATATTAAAATATCTTGAGAATTATCTTTTAAAATTTCCACATATTATTTCAAAATTAATAGACACTTAATTGGATTTGTTATTTGGATTTGGAATTTCATTAAATACATGTGAATAAATTTAGTCTTATTTTTTATTTTTTTATTAATATTGATTATTGATTTATTATTATGGAGTTTGAAAATGTTGATTATTTATTGACTATTAATCTTGATGCCTTCTAGTGTGAGTATTTGAAAAATGTTAAGTATTGATGATTAACTTGTCATTATCGACATTTCCTAATTAACTCTTAACATCTAAATACATGCCTTTTGATTCAGAATAACATTTCCAATTTTTCAAATCATTATCAATTCTACTTCATAAAATAACAGTACTTAAAAGAGGTCTATATGTATTGAAATAATTCCTCAACTAAAATAGATTATTCAACTTCCAAATCTAAATTTTGATTCTGTGGCTTTATGATTATTTTCAACCTATTTATCATAATAAATTAAATAATATATTATCATTATATATTCTTTTTTTTTTATTGATAAATTCTCTAACAAGAGATTAATAAATATTTTTTGATTATTTACAATAATTATTGTAAAATAAACAAAATATAAGTTAATTATATCTGTTCAATTAATATTTTATTATTATCT